AATTAAACCTTTGTATTTATATAGTACTAGATAGAATTTTCTATGAAATATATAGGCCGAATTTATTTATTGGCTGAATAACTTGCACGAAGATGACACACAAGCTCAGTCTAAAGTAAACAGTTCTCAGTTCTGTACTGGTGTGATCCGAGAACCGCTGTACCTCTGCGTTCGTTACTATACGCGGATGCGCAGTATCAGCAGTATCAACAACATGTCTCAGTTCAGTGAACTGTTTAGAGTTACTGGAGTAAAATATAATTCGGGATATTGGTTTATTTCAACTCGGAGGGACTGTCAGGCATGTCTGAAAGTGAGTAACTGTAGTAACTTCACTTGTGGATCAGCACTGACGCAAGACGTGAACTGATGCGAATGATTCAGTTCGATTTAGCGTACTGGTTCGACCGGTTCATTAAAAAGAACCGATTCGTTCACGAACCGGCCATGTCTATGATCACTAGTCTGCAGAGAGATGGAGGCGGCAAGAGAAAAGGTGAAGACTGGGGAGTGGAAGCTCCGCAAATACACAAATAGAAAGAGTAAGTGTGGGAGACATTTACTGAAATAATGAAAGATGATGACCAAAGTGCTGCCGTTGTTATATGTAGGCTACGTCTTCTTGCGATGCTGTGTTGTTACACGTTTATGGCCCAATGACGCTACGAGCATGTACTACTTTTAAAAAATACGGTCAGGAAGAGGGTCGGGTACAATATTTTCTTACTTTTTTTGCGGTCCGAGTAGCGGGCGGGTAGTTGAAAACGTTGGTAGTGTGCGGGTTGTTTATACATTGACCCGCGCATCACTGTTCCACACGGCTGACATGTCTCCCCATCTCCCCGCTCTGAGCTGCAGCCGGAGCCTGGGGGTGGGCACTCGGCGCCTGTGATTAACCCATTTCTCAGAACATGGTATCGGTCCCCGGTATCGGGGGACTTTTAACGAGTACGAGTACTTTAGAAAATGTGGTATCGAGGCCGATACCAGATACCGGTATCGGTATCGGTGCATCCCTAATACAAACTATCCAAAATGTAATTACGACTAGACAGAAAGACATTGTTGATATCTACAATGTTAATTTCCGGATAGGCAAACTTAGCTTTTAAATGTTAAAGGGGCTTGCCATACACGGACGTAGGCTCAGAGAGAGTCTCACCATATTCAATCCAAAATATCTGACTTCCTCTTGGTCTGAGCTAATGACTATGAATTAGAAAGTTGTCTGGCTTGAGGAGTACAATGTATATAACGATTTTTGTAACTGTAGATAAAAATAACAACCCCACTTTTGTCAAAAGGTGGCGCTATTTAGTCCCTGCACCATGGCCGTTTCTGAAACTTTGCACATGTCTACTGGCTAATAAATGTGATGTGTCTGTTGAGTTTCATGCAATTTCAAGCATGCTAAGAGTCTCAAAAGCATCCTAAAATAATTTCAAAGTTTGAAGCTTTGCCACGGCAACAGTTTAAAAGATATCAAGAATCCATTCACAGGTCTACATCTACCGTATGTTTACATTGAAGATTCACAATCTCATCATTTAATGTTGTTTTTAGTTTTTTTATTGTTTTTATTAATAATAATAATCATTAGTATTATGCATGTGATTTACACTTTTCATATACATTTTTTATACTTTTCATATATATTCATAATCATTTATAATCTACATTTTTATGAATCAAACTTTTCTGAATTCTGTATGTGGAAGACTTTTAGAGTTTGGGAGACCTTGGGGGGAAGTTGAGTGTATTATGTTTCTTTCCGTGGAGCAGAATATACATTTCAATGATTGATTAAGAGCAGATGTTTCTGGAACAGCTATATGTACTGTGTAAGTTCTTTGTTTGAGAGAGAGGGGAGAAAATACAGAGAAGCAGAAGGACGATCTTTGCTGGTCCATGGTCCACTCTCTCTCCCTTATGTCTTATATAAATTGGTAAAATAAATAACATATATTGGCAGAATGACTGGTGTCTTTTCATTAAATTGAATAACAAGGGGAAACGAAGATTTTAAATCTACATTTTTGGCGTCACGAACAGGATCGCATACCCAGGCATTCGTCTCAATCATTTCAGGTAAGACTTTTTTTCCTTTCTAAAAAGTTTTAAGTCTGCCTGATGATTAGAGACAGTGACTGAAATGCTGAAAAGAACTGTGTTATTTTAAGTACCAGTTGTTTTGCCAATGAATATGGGACATAAGGAAAAATTATATAAAATTAATCAGATTAAATAATCAAATTGAATTAGGCTTATTTAAGGTTCTCTGAAAAGTAAACCTCAAACAATATTTGAAATGCTGGGATAGAGATGGATCTTTTTTAGAAAAAAGACCATCTAGTCAGAAATTTGGAATTAGCTGTAAAACGGTTAAGCTAGTAAAATTTGCTTGGTTATAACTGCGACGTGGTTGGATAGTGGCGGGACTGTTTAAAGAAGGCAGAGTAATCCCTAAAACATCCAACACACCGAAGATTCGTTCTCAGAAGGAGACGAGGAAAGTTTAACACGAGTGGTACTTGATTGACCAAAGCGGTTAAATGTGGCGGGACTGTTTTAAAAATGATGGCAGAGTAATCCCTAAAACATTGTAACACGCTAGAGTTATACAAGTATAAAAGGCGCCCTTGTAACTAGCTAGGATCGTGGGCATTCTGAACCTGACCGTAAAGCTGTTCAAATATTTGAGGAGACTGATCCGAGTTAACTTTAAGGGAAAAAAAAAATACCAAAGAAATTAATCTGAGATAAAATCCAAAATATTTGGAAAGAGGAAAAAAAAAAAAGAAACCGTTTTGAGTTTTAAAAAAGAAAACTAAAATACTGAAAAGCATTAGAGTTAACTTTTCTTTAAATTTTTCTTTTGTTCTGTGAGTGAGGGACAGAGAAAGAGAGTGAAGCAGCCCCTCCCTTCAGAATTGCCCTGTACCTTCACACACACACACATCCAGTTGGAAAGGGAGAGAAGCAGGGAGCCCCATATACACATACTTCCACACACACATAGGCTGCAGCTCTGAGCACACACACACACACACACACACACACACATACATACACAGACAGCCTGCAGCTCTGAGCACACACACAGACGCATCACATAGGCTGCAGTTTCTGAACATAGATGCACATACATAGCCCCCCCCATATAACACACACACACACACACACACACACACACATATAGGCACACATACATCCCTGCTGTTCTGAGTTAACAGACTGTTCTGAGTTGCACAGACTTTTAACACTTGAAGATGGCAGCAAGTGTCTGTACCCGCAGCACAATAGCTGAATGGTATCTTGAAAAGAAGAAGAGCAAGAAACTAACTAAACTTTTGAAAAAAGGACTGGACATTAATGCATCTATGAATGAGCAGTTAAGCTGGTTCGAGTCCCAAAAAGACAAGATAAAATCAAAAGCATTTCCAATTTTAGCAGCTAATTGGATTGTGAAACAAGGTGGAATTTGTTGTGATTTGAATGGAGGTCCGGTACCGCTTGTTGAAGTTATGAAGCCTCAGCTTGAAGCATACCACAAATTAAACAAAATAATGTCCATCACATGTCCAGAGAAGGAAAACACAACCAGTGATGATTTATTTGATCCAGATTGGACAAATATAATAACTGAAGCTGAAAGGAAATATTCACAAGCACCAGTGAAATCCGCGACAACAGTAACGCCTCCACCTTACAAACCAATTTATCCACCTTTGCCTGAACAATATACAAGTTCATCTAAACCTCTGACGCAGCCTCAAGCTTCAAGATCAAACGGAGGTCCAGTTGACAAAATGTATATTGCATCTGCACAAGCAGCTCCAATAATAACAAGATCTAAATCAGCCCAGCCAAGCAGAGACATGATGAGATGTACACCAGCTCATAATTATGGATCTGACTGGGGTGATGAGACAAGAGATGATGACGTGATTACAATTGACAAAATCGGTCCTGAATTTTCTTCACCTGTGATTAAAAGGGAAGAGTCGCAACCTGAGATGATGACCGAAGAAAGACCATTTACTCCGGGAGAACGACAAGCCATTCTCTCAGCCTTGCCTCCTCTGAAGAGACAAGATCCAAACACAGAGTTTTGGCGAGAATTAGACTCCCTGGTTGAAGCACATCAAATGACACTAAAAGACATTCACACCATTGTGAAAGCTAAAATCCCAAGAGACCGATGGGAACGCCTGCCAGCGTCGATAACAACAGCCCAATGGGTAGACTTGTGGGTTGATGGCCAAGGACGACCCCTGGGTCTTTGGCAAACATTAGATGTATTCCGAAAGGAAATCCAAGAAATCTTGGGAAGCGGTAAAATTCCATTCACTTCAGTGACATTGATTAAGCAAAAGGATGATGAATCTCCAGACGAATATGCTCTGCGTAAGTGGAACACTTATGAGAGATGGGCTCTCTGCGCTAAGAAACAACCTGACAGAGATGATGTACAATTCACTGACACACTTGTGGATGGCTTTAGCTCTAAATACCAACAAGCGTTATCACTTGGAGTCAATCCAGGCGAAACATATGACCAAATTATGCAATGGGCTGGCCGTCTAGAGATGGCGATGAGATCAAACAAGGAAGAAGGAAACAAGAAAAATCGAAAAGGAGTGGCGACAGCTCAATACAACATGGATACAAAGAATAAGATTGTTGTTTGCGGCAATTGTGGAAAGCGTGGCCACTCAAGAAAAGACTGCTGGGCTAAAGGTGGTGGAGCAGAAGGTCAAGGTCCATCATTTAAACAAGTCACTGCGAAAAATCGTGATGAAACCTCTCAAGGGAAGACATGGACGGACGCACAAGTCCGTCAACTCATAGAGGGGATTATACGTCCGCAATAGGAATCAGCGGCCCCCTGTATTAGTAAGAAAAGAGACAATCGCCTTTTCATCAATGCATTAATAGGGGGCCACCCATGTGATATCCTGGTTGACACAGGAGCCTCAATTTCAATAACAGATCTGAACCTACCTACAACAGATGAAACTATGGAAGTTGAAGGAGTTGGAGGAGGTATCACAACATTTCATAAAAGTATCCAAGTTCCACTACAAATACATGAAGATGAAGTCGTATGGACATCTTTCTGGGTGGGACCGAATTCACAAGGAAGCCTCATTGGCATGGACATACTTCCATTGTTGAACATGATCATCTTCACTGACAGTCGTCAAATCGCTACAACAGCTGGGATAATACCACACGAAGATCGCACATGTAATTTGAGTTCAGTTGGTGCAGCAAAACCAATTATCAGAGACTGGACCAAAGACGGTGTGTGGGGTCTTCTGTGCAGTTTACATCCAGAAGTTTGGGCTAAACACAAATTTGATTGTGGCAAAGCCAACATTGACCCTGTTGTTATTGAAGGGCCGACACATGCCCCTCATAAACAATACCCTATCCGACCTGAAGCAAGACGAGCCGTGGAAGAGATAGTGGCAGACTTGGAAGCTGAAGGGATTATCAGACAAACTTCATCAACCACTAATAGTCCTGTCTGGCCTGTCAAGAAATCGGATAACTCATGGAGATTAACCATTGATTACACAAGACTCAACAGTGTAACACCAAAACCGCATCCTATTGTGGCCAATCCTGCCACCATTCTGAATGATATTCCAGGAAATGCAAGAATTTTCACAGTACTAGATGTACTGTCTGCTTTCTGGTCTATACCTATTGACGAAAAATCTCAAGAGAAACTTGCCTTCACAGTGGGTGCAAAACAGTATGTCTGGAACAGACTCCCACAAGGACTTAATATTTCTCCTGTGGTATTTCACAGAACTTTGGATCAGTTCTTAACGGAGCAAAAAGCTGAAATCGAGAGTTCAGGAAGTGTTTGCCTCCAATACGTGGATGACTTGTTAATTGCAAGCCCAGATGAAAACAGCCACATATTTGCTCTGAATATTGTCCTACAAGCCCTTAAGAAAGGAGGATTCAAAGTCAACCCCGACAAAGCACAGCTGGCCAAAACCAAGGTTATCTACTTGGGCCAAGAAATATCTGTCGAGGGAAGGAGACTGACAACAGAGCGTGTGGAGGCATTACGGCAACTTCCAAAACCTCTAACAGTTACAGGAATGAGGAAAGTGATGGGACTTTTCAACTATTGTCGTCAGTATATTCCTGATTTTGCCAGCATCACCAGCCCCCTCATTGACTTGTACAAGGGAGGAAAGCCTGGAATGGAACAGATAAACTGGACACCGGAAGCTGAGGAAGCATTTACTTCAATGAAAGAAAAACTGACTTCAGCCCCAGCCTTGGGACTTCCTGATGGACGATTGCCGTTTCATTTGTGGACCAGGGTGGGAGATGAGACGTACTCAGCAGTACTGTGTCAAAAACCAGGTGATCGATACAAACCAGTTGGATACTTTTCCACAAAGATTCCTGTTACAATGATTGGTCAACCACGATGTATACAAGCTCTCGATGGTGCCACATGGGCAGTGGATGCTGTGGAAAATTTGATAGGAGCACAAACAATCATATTGCATACTCCACACAGTATAGTGACGTTGCTGAACAACACAAACATCAAGACCATTACTGATGCAAGGAGAGCAAAATGGGAAGCAACTTTGTTGAACAAGGATTTGAGAGTGGAAATCATCAGAGACACATCCCTTAACCCTGCAACAATGATGATCGAACCACACGAGGGAACACCACATGAGTGTGAAAAACAAGTAGAAGAAGAAAGTCTTGGTCCTGTTAGTCCAACACCTCTTGAAAATCCAGACAAGGAGTTATGGGTCGATGGATCCAGTTACTATGTTGATGGAAAACGACATACTGGATGGGCTGTAGTGGAAGCTGATGGAAATGTCGTGAAGAAAGGAGCTCTTTCTGGGCATTTTTCAGCACAAGTAGCTGAGCTCATAGCACTTGCAGAAGCTTTCGAATTATCGGAAGGACAACGAGTCAACATCTACACAGATAGTCGTTATGCTTTTGGAGTGGTCCATGACTACCTTGCCCTGTGGAAAAAACGTGGACTTATCACCAGCAATGGGAGCGAAATACAACATGCTTCCATAATTCGTCGTTTGATTGCAGCATGTCACCTACCCAGAGAAGCAGCCGTGATCAAAGTAAAATCACATCAATCTGACAAGTCCAAAGAAAGTCAAGGAAACACGGCAGCAGATGCAGCGGCCAGAGAAGCAGCACTACTTCCTCTTACTCCTGTTACCTTGGTACAGGAAAACACCAAAGATAATCCTGAGCTCCGCCTTCTGTCATATCAAACTGAGACAGATGAAGAGAAAGAACAATGGATAAAAGCGGGAGCGAAAGAGGATGATCAAGGTATCTGGAGAATTCCAACAGGACAAGTGGTGATGCCTATCGGAACAAGAAGGGAACTAATGCAGCTGTATCATGGAAAAGTACATGCTGGAGCAAAAGCAATGAAAGCTCAAATCAGCGAGACGTGGTGGTGGCCACGAATGATGAGAGACATTGATGATTACTGTAGAAGATGCTTGATCTGTCTGAAAGCAAATGTTGGAAAATCTGTAAAGGTGCGGATGTCACATGCACCCAGACCAACAGGTCCATGGACACATCTCCAAATCGATTTCACAGGACCTTTGTCACCCAGTGGAGGGTACCAATACATTCTAGTAATCATGGACAGATTTACTAGATGGGTGGAAGCATTCCCAACAAAAACCTGCACTGCTGAAGCAGCCGCACGAGTGATGGTTGAACAAGTCTTTCCTCGCTGGGGTCTTCCATATGAACTTGATTCTGACAATGGAACTCACTTCACTGGAAAACTGATGAAGGAAGCAATGAAATTGATGGGGATTAAACAGAAGTTTCACGTCCCATACAGACCTCAAAGTTCAGGCCTAGTGGAACGGATGAACAGATCGTTGAAAACCGCTCTTACCAAGGCCATTCTGCAAACTGGCCAAGGATGGCATAAGTTGTTACCCGCAATTTTGTGGAATCTGAGAGCAACCCCGAACAGAGTAACGGGACTGACTCCTTTTGAACTGATGACTGGAAGAGCAATGGTTCTGCCTCCTGATGCTCCGCCGCCTGCGGGAACAGGAGGAGACTCTACTTTGTTCCAAGAGAAGCTACGACGCTATCTTGCAATGCTGGACAAAGCAATCAAAGACAATAATAAGAAAGTGCGAGAAGCTCAACAGCAATGGGATGAAAAACATACCACTACTGACATTCCACACATTCCTGAGTTAGGCAGTTTTGTTATGGTCAAACGTATTCCCAGGAAAGGTTTAGAACCTAGGTGGGAGGGGCCATATGAGGTACTCTTAACAACAGATACAAGTGTCTGCCTAAAAGGGAAGGGTGTAGGAACAGATAGATGGTATCATTGGTCACAAGTTAAACCTTGCTTAGTGAATGAACAAAATGATGAAGGCTTAGGACCTGAGATTGAGCACTGTTCACTCATTAACTTTGGGAAAAAGGAGTGATGATTAATTATTTTTCTGCTTCCATTTCAGGAATCAATTCCATTGACATTGATTAGAGATGGTCGCAAGTTATTCTCGATACACAACGACAATGGTATGCTTGTTTTTAATTTTACTTGGCATTTACCAAGGAAGCCAAGCTTTATGGACTCCTCGAGTTCAAGAAATTACTCGGAATGCAACCCTGAAATCTGGCCAACGTTTTACTCTACCCTTTATTTCCAGATGGGGATTATGGGATTGGGTGCCACGTAATGATAAAGACCTTGCTAAATATCGAGTGGGCATCTACGGTGGATGTAACTTTCACCACCAATGTTACAAAAGCAGAGTAATTTGGCCGGTGAAAGATGGGGGGTATACCGGTAGTGCTCAAAGACGAGAAATTTGTTCAAAAGAACAATGTGAAATTGTGGGGTTAAACCTCATAACATCTACTGATGTGGAAATTAATTTCATTTTGAATCGTACCCACATGCTTACAATATGGGATTCATTAGCCCTAGGCTGTATCTATCCCATAGTGTTACCATGCGAGGGGTTTCTATGGGATGCTACCTCCAGGACAACTAGATTCAAGGGAAATTACATACGAGTTTGGCATTCGGAAGATGCGAATGAATATTGTGAGACTGAATTAGAAACTGGGGAAATTGGACGGTGTTTTTATCTTTCTGCGGGAAAGACAAACAAAGCTAAAACATGCCCAAGTACAACTATTGCACCAGCTCATGGTATATTGTTAGCAAAGGAAACCAAAACCTTGATAAACGAAGCTCATATGGTGCGACAACGCATTAATTATAACTTGATGTCTCTTCTTACTGTTTATGATCAGTCCTATTGTGGAAATTTCACAAAAATTAGGAGCTGGTTGGAAAAAGAAATTAAATATTATACCTCTAAGGATCCTCTTGGAAGTCGAAATCGTAAACCTCGAAGTATATGGGGAGACATAGCGGGGGTATTTGGCTCTTGTCAATTCAATTAGTAATACTGCTCAGCTGAACCAATTAGGTGAGTACTCTCAGTGGGTGGGAACAATGACCGGCAAAGACTTACTGAGACTCTTCAAGGTTCTCT